CTTATTCAAACGATGCCGCGTTTCTGTCCCGGGTGCCTCCTTTCTCCACGCGTCTCTTGAATTAATAATGCTCGTGGAAGATCACTGCCTACACGTTACAGAAATCTTTTCGTTGATTTGCTCGAGGTACTTCTTACTTGCAAATTACTGTAACCAATCGTGGGAGGCCCCCAGATCAAAATGGTAGAAAATATCTAGATTTTAATGTATAGTGTCTGAACTTGTTCTGTCACCCCACCGCACACACACACACACACACACACAGCGGGGACAATCGAACAACATTTTAGTGTCGAGGATCTTTGTTTTCTGATACGGTAAAGTTTGCTAATGATGGCCCCTTTTACGAAAACAGCCGATACAAAAGTCGTGGAGAAAGTTTCGCTGTGGATCGGTTCTTAGAACGGAGTTCTCTTTTAACGAGATAGCTCGTTCGTTTGCCCTTAGCGCACGACCGGCTGGTCGAATTCGACGAGATTCGCTAAATAGCTGTTGGAGAACGTTCAAGGTTATTCAAGGTCGTGAATTAATAATCGTAGTTGTACGTCATTCGATCAACGTCATTACGACGCTCATTCGGATGCTATAGCCGGGCTTGATTTACGACTTCCAGCGACCTCACGCGACTTTAGCGTTGCGTTCGCGGCGTTTCGTTGTTTCCCATTTGCTGGGATCCGAACGAAGCAAAAAGTAATTCCGTTCGATTAGGGAGAGAATGATAGTCATTTCTGTACGGGAGCAACGACGTTATCGAGCCAGATCATCACCCTTTCCCTTTCGTACCTGCCACGTCAAATTCAAGATAAATGCCTTATTTTTATTCTTTATATCAGAATGATTATTTTATTTCTAAATAAGAAATATTAGAATTTAATAGACATAGTAGAACTCCTTTCAATTGTTCCTTGATTGAATATTTATAAATTTCAGAGGGCAAGTAATAATATTTGCTAATAAAATTGGCTCTGTATTAATTTTGAAGACTTTGGCAGACCAATCATTGATATTTCTACTTAAAAACAAGATTAACACTTCCTAAATTGCTTTTCCATTGAATATTTCTAAACTCTAAGAGGCAAATAATATTATTAGTTAATAAAATTGATCCTGTATTAATTTTGATGATCTTGGCTGACTAGTGGTTGATATTTCTACTTAAAAAGAAGATCCAACACTTCCCCGCTATTCCCAACTGTTCCTCGACTCAATTCTGCATAATTCCAAGGCGCAAATAGTAATATTAGCTGATAAAATTGGCTCTGTATTAATTTTGAAGACTTTGGCCGACCAATCATTGATATTTCTACTTAAAAACAAGATTAACACTTCCTAAATTGCTTTTCCATTGAATATTTTTAAACTTTAAGAGGCAAATAATATTATTAGTGAATAAAATTGATTCTTTGTTAATTTTGAAGATCTTGGCTGACTAGTGATTGATATTTCTACTTAAAAAGAAGCTCCAACACTTCCCCACTATTCCCAACTGTTCCTCGACTCAATTCTGCATAATTCCAAGGCGCAAATAGTAATATTAGCTGATAAAATTGGCTCTGTATTAATTTTGAAGACCTCTGTCTGACAAATGGTTGATATTTCTACTTAAAAAGATGATCGAACACTCTCCAACTGTTTCTCCACAGAATATTTCTAAAATCCAACATTGCATAAACATTCAAATATTAGTTCTACATAGGTTCATCTATTTTTATTCTTCATTTCAGAATTAGTACTATATTTATAAATAAAAAAAATATCAGAATTTAATAAACACAGTACAACTCGTCCCAACTGTTCCTAAATTGAATATTTCTAAATTCCAAGGGTCAAATAATAATATTACCAAATAAAATTGCCTCTGCATTAATTTGGAAGACCTCTGTCCGACCAATGGTTGATATTTCTACTTAAAAAGAAGACTCAACACCCTCCAACTGTTCCTCCACGCAACATTTCTAAATCCAACATTGCGTAAACATTCGAACGCCAGTTCTACATACCTACCCTCTATTTTTAATCTTCATTTCAGAACGATTGCATAATTCATAAATAAAAAATACCGAAATTTAATAACCATAACAGAAAGGGGGAGACGATTGGAAATGTTTGAATTAAAATAATTGTAAAAGGAGTGGTCAAAGCGGAGGCTCCAGTTTCCCGGTTTCGTTCTCCAAGATGGCGGCGGTTGAGACGCCTCCGGTGGGTTGGGGGGTGAATTTTCTTGAAAATTACCGCTGGTAACGATAACGAAACGGAAATCTCGGTTGATTCACGGGCTCGGATTCGCTTCCCTCTATCCGCTATTAATTAAGGCCATCTCCGGAAGGGGGAAAGAAAATCACCGACGCGAAATTAGTTCCCGCCGGAGGGCGGGAGGGGGGGGGGAGGGGCGGTGTAGTTACCTGTGGACTCGGTATTTGCGGAGATAGCAACGGCTCTTGAGGCCGCACGCCTCGTCAGGAAACGCCGGACGCATAAATAGGCGTGCATTTTCTCGCCCGGGTGAAAAATTGGAGCCGCGGTTACGCCGCTCTCTTTATTTTTACGGTGAGCAAACTTTATTCGCCTTTCCAGCCGCGAGGACGGTAAACAACGGTCGCGGGGATTCGTTAAAATTATTGGTTGGTCCGTTGAAACGAACGGGGGGTGATTTTAGTAACGAGGCCGTAACTTTGTTCCACAGGAGGATGGAAAAAAATTGCTTAACGGAGACTTCGATGGTTGCACGGGTGATTATTTACCTCTGAAAAGGTTGGTGAATTCGAAAGAGAACATACCTCGTGGGTTAGTTTCGATTGATTTTATTGGTACATTTTAGTAGGAAACAAATTGTATACATATATGGATTCTTACAACGTGGAGAACATTCCCGACATCGACTGAGGGGATCCAGGCCTGTCGGGGCTAATCGGCTTGCCGTAATTTTCTAAAACAAGATTTGCTCGGCGATCTGTACGCGCATAATGCGACATTCGACTCTGGTGATCCAATTGGCCGCCGATCGCAATAGTTAAACCTGTTACGCGGCCGATAAACGGCTCCGAAGTCTCATCCGTTCCTCGTAAATGGATCGTTTGTTGACACCGTTGTCGCAGAGCTTCCGGAGAGCGAGCATTACGCACGATATATCACCGGTGACGTTCAAAAGATGGGATCTGACACACACTGTAAACATTAAACACCAAATGTGGTCGGGACTTACTTATTTTATGGTAATTATCAATTTCTTATGTATAGAATTCATAAATGGGGGCTCACTATTAGTTAGAATCGGTCAAAATAAATAATTACTGGCATCAACTGTGGTGTAAGTAGAAATATCGAGCAATAGTCAGACTAGTCACGTTTTGGAGCTATTTACATCCAAACTTTATGGATTAAACATACATAATTGAGTGGAATTACTCATTCTTGATAGATCTTACACGTACTGATTAATTACAACAGATAAAAATAAATAAATCTCACTTTAATATCGAAGCAAGTAGTAATATCAAGCATTGGCCAGACTTCTCACGTTTGAGTGCCTTAAATGTACATAATGGGGTAATATTACTCATTTCTTATAGCTTTCACAGTCTCCCTGATTAATTACAACAGATAATAATAAATAAATCTCCCTTTAACATAAATACAAGTAGTAATATCGAGAATTGGTCAGACTACTCAAATTCGGAGGTCTTAAATATCCATAATGAAGTATTATTACCCATATTTCGTATCTCTTGCAATCTCCTACACTCAATTACAACAATTTCAAAGGAATAAATCTCACTTTACCATCAGTCTAAGTAGAAATATCAAGCATTGGTCGGACCACTCACGTGTTGGAGGTCTCCAACGTCCATAACGGACTAGATTTCCTGCCTCTTACAATTCCCCAATTAATTACAAGTTTCTAACGAACGAGTACCACCTTCTCCATCAACCTAAGTAGAAATATCAAGCGTTGGTCAGCCCTGTCGGACCGTAATCCGGAAACCGGGGAGGGGTGGTCCCCAGGACGGGATAACTTTGCTCCACGCTTTCGATTCATATTCTCCCCCGGAATAACCGTATTTCCATTCGTACCAGTTACCAAAGGGGGGGAACTGTATTATTTAAGACAACGAAAGTTCCCGTCGCCCCGGAAACGTCGACCGACCGAAACAGGCTGCGAAAGTCACTCCGAGCATCTCGAAACTTTCCGCGGAAAGCGCCCGAAAGTTTCGAGAAGCGTTAAACGACACCGAAGACGGTTTGAAGGTGTGGGTGAGGTGGTAGTTAGTAGAAATCGGTTAAAAAAACGGGACCCGATGAAATGGTAATCGTTACGTAACCTGGTTCGAGGCAATCGGCCGCGGCGTAGAATCTAGAACGCGCGATGGAGGCTTTTGGCGTTGGACGACTCTCGCTCATAATTATTTCGCAGTCGCAGCTTTGGCCCGATCTTGGATGCATGTTTTAATGGAACGACGGCCGGTCTTGCGCATTTACAGCTTCCCAGCGTCCTCTGTCGCTCGACCGAGGGACGCGATCGGGACGATCTTTGCGATTTCGAGGCCTCCTCGAGTCCGCCCTCTGACGCTCGTAGTCCGTAGTTAGTCGTCCTGGGCTTCGAAGGTCTCTGGAATCGTTTATTCAATCCCTTGTAAATTTGTTCTTTGTAAGGCCACGAGATAGTATAGATTTGTTTTCTGAATATTTTTGTAAGAATTTTTATAGGAAAATTTGTTCGCTCCAAGCAAAGAGAGCAATAGCGTTAAGTTCAGAACTCTAGATTCGATAAGCAGAGTTGTTTGGAGTAACTTGGGAGTGAAAAGTGACATTATCAAATGCAAGAAAGGTGTGATTCGAGTCGAGAGGGTGGCAGAAGTTGTGATAGTAATGGCCCCGGAGACCTGAACGCCCAGGACGCCTCGATCGAGGTCGATCGAGGGGTAGGAGTAGGTAGTGTAGCGTATCGAGGATGGTAGTTGGTAACTCGATCTCATTAACCCGCAAACTCTGATACTGTTCAGGCAAAGTGGACGAGAAAGCGACGCAGCTGCACGCGATAGCCTCGCTGAAGGCGCTGTTGGACGCCACCAGGCCGCACAACGGCGCCGCGACGTCGACCGCCGCCCAATACTCCGGTGCAGCATCGAAAGAGACCACTCTGCAGCTGCAGCAGGGTTCACAGGGCACAACGACCACCACCACGACGACGACCACCGCTGGCACCACCGCCGGCATCCAAGAACTTCCCAACGGTGGCATAGCCGCTGGTCTCGACGCCGGCCTCGAATCGGTAATTTCCAAATACGACGAATGCCTTCTTCACCCCCCTCCACACATTCGTCATCCCCCATTATTGCGGTCCTATTGGTACTCCCGGCCTCCCATTCTCTCCAGAAAACAATCATCCAAACCTCAGATAAATCCCCCTTTAGTCTTAATGCAAGTAGAAATATCTAGCACTGGTCAGACTTCTCACCTTTGAAGACCTTAGAAATTCATAATGGAGTGGAGTTACTCATTTTTAGTAGATCTTGCACGTACTGATTAATTACAACAGATAAAAATAAATAAATCCCACTTTAATATCGAAGCAAGTAGTAATATCAAGCATTGGTCAGACTTCTCACGTTTGGGTGCCTTAAATGTACATAATGGGGTAATATTACTCATTTCTTATAGCTCTCACAGTCTCCCTGATTAATTACAACAGATAGAAATAAATAAATCCCCCTTTAACATAAATACAAGTAGTAATATCAAGCATTGGTCAGACTACTCACGTTTTAGGTGATCCTTACATCCAAACTTTATGGATTAAACATACATAATGGAGTGGAGTTACTCATTTTTAGTAGATCTTGCACATACTGATTAATTACAACAGATAAAAATAAATAAATCCCACTTTAATATCGAAGCAAGTAGTAATATCAAGCATTGGTCAGACTTCTCACGTTTGGGTGCCTTAAATGTACATAATGGGGTAATATTACTCATTTCTTATAGCTCTCACAGTCTCCCTGATTAATTACAACAGATAGAAATAAATAAATCCCCCTTTAACATAAATACAAGTAGTAATATCGAGCATTGGTCAGACTACTTAAATTTGAAGGTCTTAAATATCCATAACGGAGTGTTATTACCAATATTTCGTAGCTCTTACAATCTTCTGCACTCAATTACAACAATTTTTAAAGAAATAAATCTCACTTTTCCATCAGTCTAAGTAGAAATATCAAGCATTGGTCGGACCACTCACGTTTCGGAGGTCTCCAACGTCCATAATGGACTATATATCCTGCCTCTCACAATTCCCCAATTAATTACAAGTTTCTAACGAACGAATACCACCTTCTCCATCAACGTAAGTAGAAATATCAAGCATTGTTCAGACTACTCAGATTTGGAGGTCTCCAGAAAACAATCATTCAACACTGAAATGTTTCTTGACTATTATTCGACGAGTTGGCTACCATAAGAAATCTAATCCAGTCGAATATTTGTTTTAAATTTATTCGTTTATTTATTTCTGAGTGGCACTGCTCTGTATTCAATACAATTTCACTTCGCTACAAGAATTAATTCTGACAGAACTGTCTACTTAAATTCAATTTTTGTAATGCCATTCGAGGGAATATTAAAATTGTCCTATCTCTCCAGAGAAATTTAACATTTCCTCGTTTGTGTCGTCAATTAGGGTTGCGTTTGCAATGCACAAACCTCAGATCGAGTCGATCGAAGTGGAAATGGTGAACAGATCAATTCACATTGAGATTAAGATTTGCTCTTCGCTCGAGGGTTCGTTGGATTTTTATTTTCGGTGACACTCGGGGGGAGGGGGGGAGCAGATTAGTTGATTCGACGAAATGCCCGGAATATTCGAAAGATTGAGAAACTCCGTGACACGAAGTTCGCATGTATATGGGTCAAAGGTGGCTATTTCGAGCACTTCCTGCGAAGGTAACCAACTGCATATTACTGGAGCACAAAAATGGCTATAACTCGGGAACAAGGTGAAACGGGGAACATGTTTATGTGAACTTTTTGTTTTATTGTTTTTGTGCCCTCGGCCCTACCCAGTCACGATCCACCCTTTATGGAAACTGTGGATAACAAAATTAACAAACGACATTTCGCTCTGTCCTATTAATAGTTTTTTTAAAGTCTGACACGATCGAATTCCCCAGTCCTGTTTACGAAGCTTCTCCGACGATATTTATTTTATAAAAAGTAACTTTCACCGCACTCGTTAACCATTAGCCATCTTGATCACGAAATTCTTAATTTGATTCGTTATTTTAATATAGTTGGTGCATAAATTGACTTGCAATGCTTGTAATTGCCTCGAAGATGGAAGAATCTACAGAATTTATCTTTCTGCTATGTTCCTTTTATTTACTACGGTCGAGTAGAGTCTGAAAGGAAGTGTAACGTCCAAGTGTTCCACGTTTCTGGCTGATAAATCTCTGAAGGCCTCTAATCAGACGCCCCGAGCGAACACTGCCCGGGGAACTCCCGCGGAGTTAGAGCTTTTCAGCTGCGAAAGGTCAAGTAGAAACGCGCTTAGAGTACTGCTTACGGATAACCAGACGAGTGTCGACACGGCGTAATGGTTCAAAGAACACTATGCACCTTTCGGGTTTCACTGTGTCTCTGTGTGTGTGTGTGGCGTAGATTGCGCAAACGCAATCACCTCCGCGAGGTTAGAACGCGATAAGGGATCTCTGTGACTTCGATTCCTGGCGACGTCGCCTCCCCCCGCGGCCAGGGAAAGGTCATTCAAGGTCATCGAATGTCGGTTACGTCAAACAATATTGATTCCACCGATGCTTACCCTTAACCCTTTGTCGTCTATTTCAGGGCCACGCTTAGGGACCTTGGCGCCCTTCACGACGATCCTCCATCCGTTCTCTATAAGAGATTCAAGTTGAAATGAAAATCTAGCAGAGGATAGTGCAACTATTTACTTGGAGGAATGGATTATAGGTCTTTGAGGAGCCATTTTTTAATTACCGAGGCCAGAAAGTTGTATGTACTGGCACAAAACCGCCATCTTGAAATGCCTGAGAGTCAACAGAAGTATTATGGATGCTATAAAAATTATTTTAATGTGGGTAGAGTATATTGTGAATCTTTGAGGAGCCATTTTTTAACTACCGGGTTCAAGAAGTCGTATGTACTGGCACAAAACTGCCATCTTGGAAAAATTAGATGCTTGAGAGTCAACAGAAGTATTATGGATGCTATAAAAATTATTTTAATATATATTAAAATTGTCGTAGGAATGGTGGTAATTTTTAGACTTAAAATTTCATATAAAAATGGTGGAAAGCCTTGCATGGACCTCGTCTTTGAGGAGCCATTTTTTAATTACTGGCACAAAACTGCCATCTTGAAAGGATCGGATGCCTGGGAGTCAACAGAAGTATTATGGATGCTATAAAAATTATTTTAATATGTATTAAAATTGTCAGAGGAATGGTGGTAATTTTTAGACATAAAATTTCATATAAAAATGGTGGAAAGCCTGGGACCTCGTCTTTGAGGAACCATTTTTTAATTACCGAGGCCAGAAAGTTGTATGTACTGGCACAAAACCGCCATCTTGAAATGCCTGAGAGTCAACAGAAGTATTATGGATGCTATAAAAATTATTTTAATGTGGGTATAGTATATTGTGAATCTTTGAGGAGCCATTTTTTAACTACCGGGTTCAAGAAGTCGTATGTACTGGCACAAAACTGCCATCTTGGAAAAATTAGATGCTTGAGAGTCAACAGAAGTATTATGGATGCTATAAAAATTATTTTAATATATATTAAAATTGTCAGAGGAATGGTGGTAATTTTTAGACTTAAAGTTTCATATAAAAATGGTGGAAAGTCTTGCATAGACCTCGTCTTTGAGGAGCCATTTTTTAATTACTGGCACAAAACTGCCATCTTGAAAGGATCGGATGCCTGGGAGTCAACAGAAGTATTATGGATGCTATAAAAATTATTTTAATATGTATTAAAATTGTCAGAGGAATGGTGGTAATTTTTAGACTTAAAATTTCAAATAAAAATGGTGGAAAGCCTTGCGTGGAGCTCGTAGAAGCGACACAGTATTTCGTCAGAAGTAATACTACTGTGCAATTACCCTAACCTCCAGATAACGTTAATCTAAACTACGACGCGCCTCCGAGGCATGATAGGACCACAACAGCAGACATTGTCGGTGCCAGGGAGGCGCAGTTGGACCGCAAAAGGTTAGAATATCTAGCAATGCAGGTATCACGATAAATAATACGCTACATGGCTACCACCAAGCCAGAATACCAAAGAAACATCGATCTGTACGTTGGATCCAGGCTCGAGGTAGTCTTCCAATGAAACAAACTAAAAAATAACCATTAAAAAACAGCCTGAAACGACCCATTGAAATGTCTAGCGCCGCCATCATTACGGATTTCGATCTCTGAGCTTGGCGGACGGAGTTTCAAGGCTCCAAACATTCGGAAACGACTTTTTTCAACTAGATCACCTGGATTACCACCATGATGGCTGAAAATAAATACCCTAATAAGACGTGTAGAAAAATGTTAACATTTTCTAGGTTAACGTTGAAAATAATTGAAAAACCCCTAAAAAAATGGCGTTAAAAAATCTGGTGTGACTCAGGAGAGGTTCACAAACTCCCAAACAAATTTATCAAACCTTTACCACAGCAGAAACATTAAAAGAGCAGTTAGTTTCAAGCTTCACTCATATTACATTGTTCACATGTACTCGATCTTCTCTAACTTCGTCATTTTTGCCCAATTTTACTTCGATATTCTAGGTCATTCTTAAAACCCCCCTCCCCGGAAGCATCGAAAACATTTCTATTTTTTCTCAATTCGTCGAAGTGGGTTTCCCCCTTCGATCCAGGGGTCGACCTCGACTCCTGAAAGCCCCGAGACCCTAAGTATTTCGGTATCGACAGTCCGTGAGTGGCGTGCGAACGTATTATAGTTAGTGGCAGCCGCCAACTCCCGAACTCCGTTAGCCGCAATGCCGGCGAAAACGTCGGCGTGAATTTCGAGCGTGGACGGGGGGACTCGTTGCAACAATGGCCCCCCTAGCAACCCCCCCCCCCGAGTCACACTCATTTCATTTCATGAATCAAAATCATTTCTTGCACGGGTCTCCCCGTAATTTGAATTCGTTTCCCGTCGCGAAGCCCCCGGGGGACCCCCCCTCCCTCTTCTGATCTCGTTTCCCCCGCGGGCCATTCCGGAATCAGTACACTCGTTGTCGGATAGCA